GCACACACACACACGCACACACGCACACACACGCACACGCGCACGCTCGCGCGCGCACGCGCGCAAACACACGCACGCACACACGCGCGCGCGCCCGCGCGCGCGCACGCGCAGACACACGCACACACACACACACTCACACACACGCGCACGCGAACACACGCACACACTCACACACCCACGCACCCACGCACCCACACACGCATTCACACACGCACGCACGCACAAACACACAAACACAAGCACACACGCATACACACACGCACACACGCACACACATCCACACGCACAGCCGCACACGCACAGACACATGCCCACGCGCAAGCACACGCACGCGCACACGCACGCGCACACGCACGCACTGACACGCACATCACCACCGCATGCACACACGCACACGCACGCACGCACGCACGCACGCGCATACGCACACGCACGCGCACACACACACGCACGCACGCACACGCGTACGCACACGCACACACACATGCACACGCACACGTACATGCACACACGTACACGCACGCACAGGCACGCACACGCACGCAAACGCACGCACACGCACGCATACATGCACACACGCACACGCACACACGCGCACACGCACGCGCACGCACACGCATGCACGCACACGCACACACGCACACACACACACGCGCGCACACAAACACGCCCACACACACATCAGAGTGAGGGGGCTGAACCGAACGGTCATTCACTGTCCCTGGGTGCTTCGCTGAAGTGAAATTCCGCGAGGCGGATTCTCGTCGTTGTTGTTGTTCTTGAATTCTTATCTCTGAAGAATAAGTATTGTTGATCCCGTCCGTCCGGTGCGCATTGTTTGTTGATTGAAGTGCCCTTCCCGGGGCTCGCACCTTGTTTTTTACCAGGGAAAGTCTCGAGGGTCAAATTGCGACGTTGGCCCCCGGTTTACAGTAACAACGGCTCCCGCCTGATGCTTCCTTACAATGTATTGAAGAATTGCGCTCTCGCCTGGGACTTCCTTGCAATTGACCACAGGATCGCGGCTCCCGCTGGATACTTCTTCACAATTGACCCCGGGTCGCGGCTGCCGCTTGCTGGATGCAGTTGCCCAGGGTCGCGTCCGCCGCTTGCCGGGGCCCGGTGTCGGCCTTTGGGGCGCGTGTTCCACTGGTCCAGGTTCTTCTGCAGGCTTCGAATGAAGGCCTCCCTCGACGAGGCCCCCGGGGCGTTCCCGCAGGTTTCGGGGGCTTCTGGAACTGCTCGGTGGTCATCGGGGTCAGTCCGAGGCCCCCCGGAGGTCATGGGAGGCTTTCGGGCGCCTTCCAATCCCCGCGTTTCGTTTCCGCGCCAGTCTCCGCTCGCATCCACCTGACCTCGCTTTTAAAAGTTCTTTCCCAGTCTTCTCTGCTCTTCCTCTTTTAATCTTCAATTTCATGTCGTTCGTACTCCTCTGTGCTATTCCTTAGTTTTTCGCGTTCCGCCCACCCCTCCCCGGCCGCCCCGTTCCGCCCCAGCAATCTCCGCCCCTTCCCGCTCGCATTCCGCATTTCTTCCAAATTATTCCCAGCCCCTCCTCCAGATCTCTCCGTGCGCCCCCCGCTCTTCCGCGCGCCTCCCGGCTCCTCTTCTCCACTCCTCGCCGCTGCTCCTCCTGAGACCCTACTCTTGTCCACTCCACCCCAATCCACTCCACGTCCCCGCGCCCCTCCCGACGCGCTGCAGTCCTCGCTATCCTTCCGCCCAACTCTCCCAACATCCTGCTTCTTTTAGGGTTCCACGAAATTTGTTTCTGACACCAGTTCGCAGCTGTGCGCCCCCTTTGGGGGTTATCCACGACGTGTTCTTTCAAGGGGGTGGTGCGCGGCGCTGTTTATGGCGCGACGCATGGCGAACCTGACCGTTGACTTGCGTTGGAGTGGCTGGCGCAAGCCACGGCGCAAGCTGACTCGCCTTTCACAGCGCAAATCATCGCCCTCTCTCCTGCTTGCCCCTCCCCCCCTTCCTCCGATCCCTTCGCCCTCATTATCCCCCGTCGCCTGTTGCCCTTCGCTTTCAAGGGCTTCACCGAACGCGCGTGACAGGGAACGAATAAACCCCCCTTGAAGGGGGTGCGCTCGAAGACGAAAAGGGCGGGTGTCCACGGTTTGGGACATCCATATTAAATAGCACACGAGCATATAAGAGCGAACGGTCTCACATTGATTGTTGTTGTTGTTGTCGTCGTCGTTGTTGTTGTTGCTGTTGTTGTTGTTGTTGTTGTTGTTGTTGTTGTTGTTGTTGTTGTTTTTGTTTGTTGTTTGTTGTTTGTTGTTTGTTGTTTGATGTTTGTTGTTTGTTGCTTGTTGTTTGTTGTTTGTTGTTTGTTGTCTGTTGTCGGTTGTTTGTGATTTGTTGTTTGTCGTTGTCGTCGTCCCGCCCGCGACCCGCCCCGCGACCCGCCCGCTACCCACCCCGCGACCCACCCGCGACCACCCCGCGACCCACCCGCGACCCACCCCGCGACCCACCCGCGACCCGCCCGAGGCTCCCCCGGCGACCCGCCCGCGACCCACCGGCGACCCACCCGCGACCCACCCGCGACCCACCCCGCGACCCCGCGACCCACCCGCGACCCACCCGCGACCCACCCGCGACCCACCGCGACCCACCCGCGACCTAACCAACATATTTCGGCGCTTGCGGTGGGCTGATTTTGCATTCGTCCCAGGTGGAGGTGGAGAGCCCGCGACCCACACGCGACCCAAACTACGTTCACGGAGCAAGCTAAAACTTCGGCGCCTGCGGCGGGTTTGTTTTGCATTCGTTTCATGTGGAGAACTTGCGACCCAAACCGCGTTCAGTGTAAAAAAAATTGTCGGCGCCTGCGGCGGGCTGTTCTTGAATTCCTTCCAGGTAGAGTTGGAGAGCCCGCGACCCACCCGCGACCCAAACTACGTTCCCTGAACAAGCCAAGAACGGAGGAGGCGGACGACGACGACGACGACGATGAGGACGCGGACGCGGACGAGGAAGAGGAAAAGGAGGAGGAACAGGAGGAAGAGGAGGAGGAGGAGGAGGAGGAGGAGGAGGAGGAGGAGGAAGAGGAGGAGGAAGAGGAGGAGGAGGAGGAGGAGGAGGAGGAGGAGGAGGAGGGCGCCATCGACAGGGAGGGTGAGGGCCACGAGGTCCGCCAGCTCGACGCCCGCGTCGCCCGCGCCCGCCCCCTTACTCATATCCGCAATTGCGGGGTGCTACGTATACGTGGACACACACACTCACACACACAGTCACACACACAACACAACACAACACAACACAAGACAACACAACACAAGACAACAGACCACAACACAACACAACACAACACAACACAACACAACACAACACAGCACAGCACAACACAACACAATACAACACAACACAACACAATACATCACACACACACACTTTTCACTCACACGCGCACACACACGCATATCGAGTCTGCGCGCGAAAATGCACCTGAGCAGAGCAATTCACGTATGAATATACAGGGTCTGGTTACCAGTAGTAGCATATTGCTATGTGTTTGCATCTGCTATCATATGCATGCACCGTGGTGGAGGCAGCGGCAACGCAACACCTCATTGCAGCCCTCCAGTAAGGGCTAGGGGGCAGGAAGAAGATAAGCCGCTCCAGAGTATCCCAGGATGCTGTCAGCGCGTGCGGGGGCGCTTTGGATCGGCCGCGGCGACCCGCCCGGTCTCAGAAATCCCGCGTTCTTCTGAGGGGCTGCGCCCTCAGTGACCGCCCTCTCCAGATTGAGTCATTGCGCGGGCGTGTGGGAGCAGCTCTGGGGACATTTCCGGGGTTTCTCGGGGGCGTCTGGGGGCCTGCATGCCATCTTTGGGCGATTCTCGGGGTGATCGTGGGGGGCCCCTCTAGAGGCCGCTGGGGCCCACTTCGAAGGCAACATTCGGCCATCTTGGCGTTTGTTCTTTGCAATATGTTGTCGCGTTATCTACGCACATGTTGATGTATGTGTATGTGCGCATGCCGGTATGGTTGTACGCATGCATGTATGCATGTACGTGTTTGTTCAGGTATGTAGTTAGATATGTACATACATATATATATATATATAAATAGAGAGAGATGTATGTATATATGTATGTATGCATGCATGCACGCACGCACGCATGAATGCATGTATGTATGTGCGTACATACGTACGTACGTATGCATGCATGCATGCATGCATGCATACATGCATGTATGTACGTGTGTATGGATGGCTGCATGCATGCATGCATGCATGTACCTACGTACGCGCGTGCGTACGTATGTATGTATGTATACATGTACGTACGTATGTATGTAGTGCATGTAATGTAGGTAATGTATGTACTGTATGTAACGAATGTATGTGTATATGTATGTATGTGTGTATGTATGTATGCATGTATGTATGTATGTTCGTATGTGCAGGTATGCGTGTATGTATGTATGTATGTATGAATGTATGTATGTATGTATGTATGTATGTATGTATGTATGCATGCATGCATGTATGTATGTATGTATGTATGTATGCATGCATGCATGCATGCATGCATGCATGTATGTATGTATGTATGTATGTATGTATGTATGTGTGTGTGTGTATGTATGCCTGTCTGCATGTCTGCATGTATGTATGCATGTATGTATGTATGCATGCATGCATGAATGTATGTGCGTACGTACGTATGTCCGTACGTATGTATGTATGTACGTATGTATGTATGTATGTTTGTGTTTATCGACACACAAGCATCGTGCCAAGACCTTAGGCTGGTGCCACCGACCCTGTGCGCAACCGGCAGCACAAGACATTCACTCAGTGGGACGTTGAGCAGGAGGGAGGAGCAGCAGCAGGAGGTGGAGGAGGAGGAGGCGGAGGCCCAGGGCAGGAGGATTGGAGGTGGAGCGGCCATGTGCAGATACAGACGTGCACCACACGTGAAGCAGTCAGCGGGAACACGAACAAAGCAACGCCTGCCCCCCCCCCGCGCGAGGACCCGTCGGCGTCGGCCGCCGTCGGCCTCGGCAACCTCAACGGCCCGCGCTGCCCCGCCACGCGGGGGGGGGTCGCGAGGGAGGAGCAGCCTCCTCCTCGATCCTCGTTGCTCCTCCTCCCGCCACCTCCTCGTCCCTCCTCCGTCACGACCTCCTCCTCCTCCTCCTCCTCCTCCTCCTCATCCTGGCATGCCCCCCCCCCTTCAGGGCAAGGGTACCCTCCCGAGGACGCTGGCCACTACGCGGGATGCCCGATTTTCGCCCGCGCCGAGGGCGGCCTCCCGGCAGCTACCGTTGCGCCGTCATGTGTTATTACGTGCTGGAAGTGTTGCGTTTTGTGGCAATCGTGGGACCTTCTCGAGTGGCAGATCCTTCCGACTTTGAGAGTGAGCCTGCCATCTCGTGATGGATAACTCCCTGTCTGGCCAGATCTCCAGCGATGTGATGATTCCATCCCCCTGGGGAAGTGTTTTGGTTTAAAGGACAGCTGCCTCTACGTTTTTGCCCACACTCATCTGAAGCATAGCTTGATGCCATGGCGGGGGCCTTCGCGCTCAATCTGTTCATTGAACTCAACTGTCTCGTCATCGTCCTCATCTTCCTCCCTGTCCTCCTCCTCCTGGTCCGCCCTTGCCCTCCCCCCCCCCTGGTGAGGACCATCATAGGCCTTACCAGTGAGGACCACCATGAGGCCTCACACCCCTGGCAGTTTCCATCACCGGAACTGCGGGGGTCGAACCAAATCCCCACAAACCTGGCGCCGTACGTGCAGTGCCAGGGGCGGCGGCCCGTCTTCCCATCTTACCATCATAGGAGGATGCGAAGTCCCTGAAGACGGGACGGGGTGGGCACGAGCGAGCATCATAGCCGGCTCAAAATCAAAAGAGGCATCATAGCCTCATCAGTCTAGATTGATCCACTCACCGATCCACTGCGATTTATTTCCATGGACTTCATTCCATGCGTAGCATGCTCACCCCTAATGGACCGTGAACGGGACCCAGTCCCCTGCCGGTCGTCTAGTGCCGCCATCATAGGCAACCAGAGGGGCCATCATAGGCACCTCGCACCCAATTCGGGGCCATCAGCAAGGCTCGTTTTGGGAAGAAGGACCATCATTGGCCTTCGCGCTCAATCTGTTCATTGAACTCAACTGTCTCGTCATCGTCCTCATCTTCCTCCCTGTCCTCCTCCTCCTCCTGGTCCGCCCTTGCCCTCCCCCCCCCCCTGATGAGGACCATCATAGGCCTTACCAGTGAGAACCACCATGAGGCCTCACACCCCTTGCAGTTTCCATCGCCGGAACTGCGGGGGTCGAACCAAATCCCCACAAACCTGGCGCCGTACGTGCAGTGCCAGGGCCGGCGGCCCGTCTTCCCATCTTACCATCATAGGAGGATGCGAAGTCCCTGAAAACGGGACGGGGTGGGCACGAGCGGGCATCATAGCCGGCTCAAAATCAAAAGAGGCATCATAGCCTCATCAGTCTAGATTGATCCATTCACGGATCCACTGCGATTTATTTCCATTGAATTCATTCCATGCGTAGCATGTTCACCCCCCTCCCCCCGTTGTGATTCTCACCCACGGATCGAGGGAAGGCTCCTTCCTGGCCGGGCCGTTCGGGCAGCCCGCGAGGGACGAGGAGGGACGAAGGAGAGGGACGACGGCGACGGATGAGGATGAGGAGGAGCAAGAGGAGGAGGAGGAGGAGGAGGAGGAGGAGGAGGAGGAGGAGGAGGGAGGAGGAGGAGGAGGAGGAGGAGGAGGGAGGAGGAGGAGGAGGAGGAGGAGTAGGAGGAGGAGGAGGATGAGGAGGAGGAGGAGGATGAGGAGGAGGAAAAGGAGGAGGAGGAGGAAGGAGGAGGAGGAGGAAAAGGAGGAGGAGGAGGAGGAGGAAGAGGAGGAGGAGGAGGAGGAGGAGGGCACATTCCCTCTCTCTTCCCTTCCCTCTCCTCCCCCCCTCCTCCCCCTCTGGGGCGGCGGCCTCCCGCGGCTCGCCGCGCCGCAGCCCCCGCGCTCGTGCGGGCCCCGCGGCGTGCGGCGATCTGGCGGTGCGCACGGGGGAAGGGGCGCGGGGGGGGGGGTCTCTGAGAGGGCGGGGGGCCCTCTCGTGCAAGCCTCCTCCCTCCTCCTCGGCCCACCTTTTCCTCCTCCAGCGCTCTTCCTCCTCCTCGGCCGACCTCCTCCTCGACCCTCCCTCCTTCAACCCTCCTCCCCCTCCTTCGGCGCACCTCCCCCGCCTCCGTGCTCCTCGAGCCTCCATCCCTTTTTCCTTGTGCGTCGCTCTTCCCTGTTGGTAAGGCGGGCTGGGCGTTTCGCTTGAGGTTTCTTCGCCACTCATGATCCCGCAGCCCGGATGCTGCAGCAGTTTCACGGACGGGGGAAGGGTCCTTTCAGCGCCACGCACATGTGTGTAGTATTGCAACAGTTTGACGGATGGAGGGCGGGTTCAGTTCCTAGAACGTGTTTTTCGCCTGTGCACCGCGCACATTTTTTTTGAACATTGGTAACAAATTCAAGATTTGTATGGTCCAAGTTCCGGAAATGGTGTTCTGGCGTGATGTAGAAGTGCCAGGACGAAGCAGTCACGTTGATTCGCTGGGTTGAAGACAGGAGCGGTGTTCTGGTACGCTTTAGGGTTGCCAAGGCGCAACAGTCACGTTGATCCGCGGCGTTGAAGTCCCAGGAATGGTGCTTTGGCAAGATTGAGGATTCTCTGTCTCTCACGGTTGTCTTCTAAGGGGCCATTTCCCGTAATGAGGAGAATTGTTTCGGGACCGATGAGGGAGTTTGGAGGGAGGGTTTCTTGCAACATTTTTTGGTGTGTCTTGGCTTCGCATTGGCCCTCACCCTCGATCCTACTCCTCGATCCTCCTCCTCCTCCTCCTCCTCCTCCTCCTCCCTCCGACCTCAAGGGCCCAGACATCTGGCGCCACGAGGCGGCCGAGCAGTCACCGTGCAATCCGTTTTTTGCGCCATGTGTGTGGCCTCCGGGGAGCTGTCGCGCTCCAGTCGGGGCAGGAGAGGGGAGCGAGGATCGGGGACTTGGGCGGCCTCCCCGCGGGCTCCTCAGAGGAGGCGCAACCACGGGCTGCGTCGCGTGGACGGGCGACGGGCCGCGTTTCCAGACAGCGTTGGCGCGCTCCGTCACCGAGTCGGGCGGCACCGGCCTCACACTCCAGGGGCGCCGTCCCGGATCCATGGCTCTGACGCCAACGCGCTGCCGCCACGGGTCCCCAACTCCACGCTCGCGCGTGCCCGGTGCCCTCGCATTGTTCGGCTCCTCCTCTCCGTTGTGCCCTGATCTGCTTCGGCGCGCCCCGCCTCGAGCCCGACCAGCGCCTGACCGCCTCTTGCACCCTGGCGCCCGTTGACTTACGAAGTGCCCGCTGCTCCGAGGGCGGGTGCTTTCCCAGAGGGGGCCCAGAGGCCTCTGCGAAGGCTGCTCGCGAAAGGCGAGGCTGGCCTCTGAGAGGCCCTCGGCCCTCTTTTGGAGGCACCCCTCGCCTTCCCAGACATCGTCCGATAGGATCTAATATGTTATGCGCAGGATCATGACGAGATGTGTGTAACAAAAAACGGGAAGCACCAATACACAAAAGGGGGCGACATTTGTTCCCCCTACCTAATCGCCTGAAGGGCCGCTCGCCTTGTCAGCATCGGCTCGAATGCCGCGGCATTGCTGCACAGGAAGCCCACCGCGCATGAAACGTAACACCACTTGGCGCTTTCACCGCCAAGGGTTTGAACGCAACACCGTTCGACGCCTCTCCCGACATTCGCCGATCTGATCTTTCCGATCCGCGCACCCAGAGCTCCCGACCCCTTCCCCGGGGGTAGTTTGTCGTCCTTGATTTATGTTTTATCCGTAAGGGCTTCGCCCCATGCAGCCGGCCCCCTGTCTCGGATAATGAGATGCAAACGCTAAATCGTGAGGTCTGGGCGCCGCCGTGAAGCAGTGTCGGGACCTGTTTGTTTTTCGACCCTGATCCTACGGATCTGCGTCACGAGTGCCACCGAGTTTCAGAATTATCGCAAATCCCTTGTGTGTTTGGACCCTGACCCTACGGATCCGCGTGAGGGGTGCCGCCGAATTTTAGAAATGTGGCAAATCGCCTGTGTTTTTGGACCCTGACCCTGCCGATCTGCTTGAGGGGTGCCACCGAATTTCAGAAATGTGGCAACTCCTTTGTGTTTTTGGACCCTGACCCCGCCGATCTGCGTGAGGGGTGCCACCGAATTTCGGAAATGTGGCAAATGCTTTCTGTTTTTGGACCCTGACCCTGCCGATCTGCGTGAGGGGGGGCCACCGAATTTCGGAAATGTGGCAAATGCTTTCGGTTTTTGGACCCTGACCCCGCCGATCTGCGTGAGGGGGGGCCACCGAATTTCAGCAATATGGCAAATCCTTTGTGTTTTTGGACCCTGACCCCGCCGATCTGCGTGAGGGGTGATCCTTTGTGTTTTGCACCCTGACCCCGCCGATCTGCGTGAGGGGGGGCCACCGAATTTCAGCAATATGGCAAATCCTTTGTGTTTTTGGACCCTGACCCCGCCGATCTGCGTGAGAGGTCTTAATTTTTACCCCCCAGAAATTCTGAGAACCCTCCCAGGGCGTGGTACAAAAAAATCGTTTTGGCCCCCCCCCCCCTCGCGCGGTCCATCAACAAGGAATAGTAAGCAGCAAGAAGCAGAATTGTAACAAGGAGCAGTAAGCAGCAATAAACATAATTGTAACAGTGGAAACTAGAAGCTGCAACTGGCACAGGAAACCGCGAAGCTTCGGCCTACTGCCTGGTGGCCCCACAAGGGGGCCGGTGGATGACGGGAAGCGCCCCTGGTGTGGACCGTTTGTTGGTGGTAAATTTTAATAATCGGGTACGCGCCGCACTTTGAAGTTACGCTGGCGGATTTGTGAAACATTGCCGTTTCTCTCGAGACATCCTCCAACAATCGGCCCAAGAGGGCACTCCGCATCGACGTCGTGTTCGAATCGCTCTTGGAGTGTTTTCCAACGGCCCAAGGGAGGCCCAAAAGACGCCCCGGAGAGCCCCAGGAGCGCCCAAGAGCGCCCCAAGAAGATCCCAAGAGACCTTCAAGAGCGCTCCAGGAGCCACCCAGACAGCTCACAAGAACCCCAAGACGGCCCAAGAAGGGCCAAGAAGGCCCCAAGAGACTCCCAGCAGCGTCCCAGGAGCCCCCCAGCTCCGAGACGGCCTAAGAAAGCTCCCACAGAACCCCACGACGCGCCCAGACAGCCCAAGAAGACCCCAGAAGCCCATAAGAGGACCCAAGGGGCCCCGAAGAAGCCCCCAACAGGCCCCAAGAGAACCCCGCGCGGCGCCAGGAGCAACGTCTTTCTCCAATTGCCTCGTACTGTCCTCTGTCGTCGTCGTCGTCGTCGCCGTCGTCATCATCGCCCTCCGCATTCCTCCTCGTACTCGCCCTCGTTCTCTTCGTCCTCGTCCTTGTGCTTCTCTTCCTCTACGCTCCTCCTCGCTATCTTCACGTTCGCCACGTCGTCCACGTCATCGACTCCTCGTTGTCCTCGCCTTCTTTTTCTCTTCGCCCAATGCGCCCATTGGACTACAGCGGCGCTTCCCGCTCTTGTCCGATCAGGTTGCCCCAGGAAGCTAAGAGCGGGCCTGGCGGCCAAAATCAATGAACAAACACATGATTTAACAATCATACTGTCGACGAGCTGGGAAGCCCCCGCTTTCTTGGCAGCCCCCTCCCCCGCCTTTCACATTTCTGAAATGGTGGCGGGGCGTTGGTGGTTGAGCCAGTGTGCAAAAACAGTGTGGCGTCGACCGCCTGCAGAACTGTCCAAACACCAGCTGGCCAACCACCAATTGGCCAACCACCTTCGCAATCGAAATGGTGGTTCGGTCTGTTTGGGTAGCTTCTGACTCGCAGCCAGAGAGCAGTAACCACCACACTGAGCATCAAGTTGTTTCTTCCACGCCTTCTCAGAAGGCCGCCCACCCCCTCCGTGTGCGCGCCGCAGAGCGATGGCGCGTGGCGCGCGGCGAGTCGCGGTGGCGCCTCGT